TGCTGCTGTTAATTCATACAACACAGACCATATGGCCCCTGCTACCTGTTCTTAACACAAAATACATTTATTCTGATTGTGATAAATGCTTCTAAAAAGATGAAGGAATGTTTACAATGCATCCTGGCTCTTGCCCAAGTAGTCAGAGCATATGCCTCTAGTGTATCTTTCTGGCTACTACAAAAACTGAGTGAAAAGGAAAGCATTCATCAAATACTAACAAACTTGGCAACTACAGAAGTTAATGTCATTTTCATTATGGTTTAATGTTATTAAAAATGTTGAGGGCAAAGGGTAAATGCACTGCAATCAATAGCAAATCTCACTAAACAAAATATACAAAATATAATCTGGCAAATGTTCCCAAACTGATTGAAACTCTTTTTGTGCTGACATTGATAGTCTCTCTCTCTCTCCTGTTGTTTGTTGAGCACAACCTATACTAGTGAAATATAGTGGTTGGTCTTTACTGCTAGTTTCTCATAAATCAGTTCAAATCGATATAAAACATATTACAAGCCTACACCAAATAACTAGCTCATTCAAATCAAGGCAGGAAACACAGCTAGACATACCATTGCTACTGCTGCCGCTGCTTCTACTACTAATTTCATTTAATGCCCACCTTTCTCATTAGGACTCAAGGCGGATTAGAAGTATAAAATTTTCAATCTGTAAACAGATTACAAAGTATTATAATATCAGTCAATTAGTGTACAAATTACAAGCTATGATAACATTTGAATCTAACAGTAAATATGCTTGGTAAAACAAAATAATGTAATCGGGCTGAGAACGTAGAACATGTGGGAAAATCTACAACAAACAAACCTGTTTAAAGACAATCCCTGTAGCAAAAACTTTATCCTTAAATGAAGTCATCTCCTGAGTAGATCATCATTCATTCCTTCATAGACCTTTATTGGCATATCATCAGTCATAAAACAAATTAGAACATTGTACCATAAAAATTAAGGTCTAAGATTCCATATAATTTAGGTGCAGTCAAGAATAGTACTATCTAAAATTTTGTACTTTAAGAACTTCTATGAGAAATTTGGCACCATCATTGGTGATCTCAGGGACCAAGTCATTCAAAAGAAATTGGCATCTTGATTTATTACTCAGATAACATTTGGGATTAAGCCAAGTTAAAAGCAATTTTTCATGAGGTGAATCATATAGGGGAAATTCAACCACTATATGCTCAATTATGTCCAGGGAGTTAAAACCACAAGGACACAGCCGTTCTTGTCTTGGGATCTGATGGTATCTGCCATAGAATATTCTAGAAGGAAATGCATTAACCCTGGCCAGAAGAAAGGCTCTGCAATGAAGAGGGATCTCAAGATTATAGAAATATTGAGGCATCTTACCTAAGTGGTTAATGAGATTGAGCATGGCTGTTTTAGCTGTTTTTAGCTGTTTCCAGAGTGATGCCATTAGAAGGCTTCATTTGGATGAGTGGAGTGGACACAGCGGAACATAGCAGGAGGAATGGTCCTGCAGGCATGCGGGTCCATTGCCTTTAAGGGCTTTGTAAGTGATAAGAACACCTAAAACTGTACCTAGTAACTGATAGGTAATCAATGAAATATTTGAAGAGAGTGATATGCAGATTCTGATGTGACTTATCGTAGCCAAGCTTTAGCGTGCTATACCAAATGGAGTTTCTGAGCTGACTTTAAGGGCAGACCTATGTAACTGCATTATACTATTCTGGCCTTAAGGTAACCATAGCTGGAACTCATCAAAAGTGGGAAGCACCATGTCCTTCAAGGTTTTGGCCTTCCCAACGACCTTACCTCTGTCTTGCCAGGAATCAGTTTCAACTTATTTGCCCTTAGCCATTTAATTACAGCAGTAAGACATTTGTTCAGAGTCTACCACACTACTAGGCAATTTTGACGAAGAAATGTAGAATAGGCAGAGGTCATTTCGGGGGGGGAACGCGGGGGATTGCAGTTCCCCCAGGTGAGGTATGGGGGCGGGGCACATGACGAAGCTTCCTCGCACTCCCACCGGCCTTGCAGGTCCACCGCAGGGCCGGGACCGTTGGGGGTGGGGTGTGTGGCCTTATGACACATTTCCAGTGATGTCAGGGGGTGTGGCCTTATGACACACTTCCAGTGATGTCAGGGGGTGTGGCATATGCTGATGAGTTATGCTAATGAGTTCCCCTAGCTCTTTTTCTATGAAATGACCCCTGAGAATAGGATAATGATGACACCCTGTTCCAAAACCACAAATGATTTACATACAGACTGAATAGCATGGGTGACATGGGTGAGCCTTGTGAAATCCCACAAGGCCAGCCTCACAAAGTCACTAGGTCATCCACTGTGGTGAAAGAACTCCAGCTGGCAACCCTTGTTGCCACCTTATCTTGCAGGTGTCCTTGAGGCTCTGCTATGCTAGTTTGGCTTTTCCCGCTGGGAAGTAATAGCCGTTGTATTAGACGTGCTTGCTTGCTTATTGGCTAATTTCCCCCAGGGGGTCCAGTATGAACCCAGTATAAGTGTTCCATCTTCCCCGTTCTTCTTTATTCTGACACAAGCCCTGTGTAACAGATGACAACCGTGTACCTTTCTCAATAAACTGTACTTCATAAAGTGCTGGTGTTGGGACTGTGTGCGTGCGACTCTGACAATATGGAGAAGCATCACAAGTGAGCACGACAGGCAGCTTTTCATCAAAATGGGTCAGGACTGCGTTGGAGGTGAGCAGCTCCTTCACGGCCCTGAACGCCTTCTTGTCAAGGAGATGGTGAAGTAGCTCTGCCAGCGCAGATTTATGGGGCAAGAAGGAATGATAAAAGTTCAGTAGCTCCTGTTTGGAATTGGGCATGGGGGTGTTGATGATGGTGCGAACCTTGTCTGGGGCCGGATGGATGCCTTTGGCGTCTATGGAGAACCCCAGGAACTCGACCCATGGAACACCCAGGAGGCACTTCTCCCGCTTCACCTTTAGGCCTAGCCGACTAGAACCGTTGCAGGATGGCACGTGACCGGCATATCAATTTCTCCTCTGTGGGGGTGGCAAACAGGATGTCATTGAAGAAGGGGTGGACCCCGGGAATTCCTTTAAGGAGAGAGTCCATGAGATTTTGGAAAATATCCGGGGCCATGCTGACACCAAATTGTAGTTGCCGCACCTTGAACACACCGCTGTGTGTGAATATGGTCTGGGCCTCTGTTGTCGCATCATCCACTGGGAGTTGCTGGTAGGCCTGGGCCAAGTCCAACTTCTCAAAAAATTTGGTGCCCGCCAAGGAGGTCAAGACATGGCTGACTACTGGGATGGGGTAGGCATGGTCCTTCAGCGCCTTATTAATGGTACATTTAAAGTCTGTGCAGATGCGGACATCCCTGTTGGGCTTAACGAGCAAAACAATCGGGGTTTCCCAGAGGGCATGCAAAACTGGTTCTAAAACCCCTTGGTCCACCGAACGATCCAGCTCCTTGTCAATTTTTGGCTTCAGCACAAAGCCCGACCATCAGTCTTTTGGGCCGCACCTCTGGGTTGAGCTGGAGGAAAACAGGGGGTCTGGTGTAGCAACCGAGTGTCCCATCAAATATGGCCGGGAACTCATTGCACACCCGCTGAAAGTCTTCTTGGGCAATTTGGTGTACCCCTGTGACTTGGAACCCCAAAGGCTCAAACCATGGTAATCCTAGAAAACTTGTGCAATGCCCCCCCCCACTACCAGCAAGTCCAAGAGTCCTTCAAAATTCCGGTACTGCACCTGAAACCTCCCCACCCCTTTCATGGCCACCTCATTCTTTTGGAAGTCCCGTAGGGTGAAACCGGCTGGGCTGATGCGAGGACTTCCTTTAGGGCAAAGCCTATGGCGTGTGTCCTCCGGGATTATGGAACTGGAAGACCCTGTGTCTAGCTCCATCATGCAAGGTGCTCCCTCGATTAGAACAGTCACTTTAATTTCATCGGGGGTGTTCTGGGGCAAGTGCAGTACCTGGCGTGGCTGGACGGCGGTGGTGTGCAGTTCCGTGGTGTGTGCAGACTTCCGATGGACGGGCTGTTGCTTCTGTGTTCCCTTGGAACATCAGGCGCAGGCGATATGGCTGACCTTTCCACAGCTCTGACATGTGGCATCTTGGAAATGGCAGGATTTCAGCTCGTGGGGCTCCCCACAGCGGACGCATGGTGTTGAGGTGGTGGTGGATTCACCGCATGAGCTGTGGCAGGTGTACTAGTGCTGTGGCGGGCTGGGTGATGTACTTTCAGGAACTCCTTGTCCTCATCAGAGATGTATACGTGGTGGGCTCCAGTGTTGGGCCTCCGTGAAGCTGGCGGTCTCAGAGCTTGGCAGACCTCCACTGTGAACTCGTTGGCGTCTGTCCTTGAATGTGTGGTCCTGCTTGGTGATGAGCCACCATTGGATCCACTCGTCCCGAAGTCCACACACCAGCTGGTCACAGAGTGCTTCCTTGAGGTCGTGGAAATTGCAATGTTGGGCGGCACGCCAGAGGGCCGTTACGTAGGTCGTGACTGACTCACCTGCTGCCTGGTTCCTCATGTAGAACACGTGGTGGGCTGCAATGACGGAGGGCGTTGCCTAACTGTAAATCGCTTTGAGCCCACTTGTGGGGAAAGCGATTAATAAATCGAAAGCATAATAATAATAATAATAATAATAGTAGTAGTAATAATAATAATAATAATAATAATAATAATAATAATAGTTGTTGTTGTTGTTGTTGTTATTATTATTATTATTATTATTATTATGCTTTCGATTTATTAATCGCTTTCCCCACAAGTGGGCTCAAAGCGATTTACAGTTACACTTTTAGACAGGGGACTAACAATGTTTTCATAGGGGATAGGAAAGACAACATATAATTCATTTTTAATTGCACAAGTCGTAACTGCACAGTGGAAACGTCTCAGGCGTTTGTACTGTTATTACTTTGTGAGCCACCTTAAGCAGTGCTCCCTGGAAGTGATGGCATATATATATCTGAAACAAATAATAAGCCTCATGGAATCCCACAGATGTTGACATTACCACCTGAAGTGTCTGTTGAAATATCTGCTTCAAAATCTGAAGGAATGTACCTAGTACATATAAAGAAACTATCTGGAAAATTAAATCAGTAATTGGTTTAACAGATAATTTGTTAAGTCATATATAGCTGGATAATCCTTTTTTCAGTGGTCTAAAAATGTATTTGAATCTTTCCAGTTATATCTGCCAAATATTATGGTTCTCTAGATATTTTAAATAAAATTTTGTTAGGATGGCTTCATTTTGGGAAAGTTCTGTTAATTCTATGCAATGCAACATGTGTCTTTGCTAGCTAAAAACAAGCAAGGAACATCGCAGTGTTAAAAATAGTTGTCTCCCTAACAGCTTTATTAAGCATTGTCAAGGTAATGTGGTGCTTCTTAAAATCATACTGCTATTATTTCCAAAAACAATATTTGTAGTATTCTATCCTAATATCACATATATTATTAATCAGCTAAAGTATTAATACAGAAAGATTCTTCTGTCCCCTTATATTGCCATCTTTTGCCAGCGGGTGAAGACTCTTGTTTCATTTGGTATTCCCTCCTTCTTGACCAATGTTTTAATTGCTTTTTTATGCCTTTGTATGTATTTTAGCTCTGATTTTAATAGTTTTAAATGGGATTATATCATGGATGTTTTACATTGTTCACTGTCTTGGTAGACCTTGTGAGGGTAAGAATATTACTATAAATAAATAGCAGCAGCAGAATCACAGATGCTTATTACGCTACCAGTTACCTCAGAACTAAAGCTGCATTCTAGATTGTGACATTAGTCTAACAGATTTAAGATACTCTAACATTCTCATACAGTTATTTCTCTTCCAGTTGAGTCAGAATTAGGCAGAACTCATGTCTACATATATGTATTTGAAAGTCTAATAACATCATTAAATATGTGCTCTCGCCCCACCAAAAAACTAAAAATAATGCTGGAAACAAACATGGAAGTGAGTCTCTTTACTTTGATATGAACTTTTTGTGCTTGAGTTCCTTAAAGTGAAATAATTTTAACCCTTCCATAAAATTTCATATTATCTTGTAGGCAAGTTGTTATATATATTTACAAGTCCAGGGGGAAAAAATCAATGGTTCTTGTAGTCACAACTGATTCAAATAAGTTTCCCCCTAGTTTTATTTTATATTTTCCACTGTAGCTTCTTCTTACTTTATTTATAAACTGTAATTAAAAACATTTAAAAACCACATTTATTTTTGGATTTAATTATACACCGTGAAGCCTAACATTAGATTCTAAACCTGTTAAAATGAACCCAGTTAATTATTATGGATTTCATTTACCATACAACAATATGAATCAATCTGGGTTTGTTTGTTTTTTGCTACCTTAATAAAATAACTTTCTCCTTTCAGACTAGATGGCACCAATGCAAATTGGGAGGATTGGAGGTAACATACATTCAACAGGTTCCAGGTATATGTGACTGTAATGTCTGAAACAGGCGATGATAAACTCTAATTCAGTAATCATGGCACATATAAAAATGGTTGGCCTGGAGCAAAATACCTTTAATGCTAATAGAAAATAGCAAAATAGCTATTAAATAAATATATTTGAAAATAAGAATAGTATTATTTCAAAGTCATATCATTAGAAACATTTATGGGATAGGGGAATCCAGGATAATACTGTTCCCCTCTTACCTTTACTTTTATTACTTAAGAAAAAAATTCATGAAGAAAAATAGCCATACCATTCAGTTAAGTTTTAACAACAATGATGACACGTCATGTCCTACCTCTTATTAATGGTGGCCCAAGCATCATTAATGTTATTGGTCATAAGTTCTACTTTTCTGGTGTCATCTGTTGAATAATCCCGGAGAAGTTTAAGAGCTAAATCATTTGCCACATCCACATTTATATGCCATTGCCGCAGTTCTTTTGCAAACTGCTGAAAAAAGAACAAAACAAAAATTATCTCAAATGTTTATTAAATATGTTTCAAACATATCCAGAGAAAATATAGCATCTTCAGTTGCAGACAGCATCTGAAATATCTCTGTTCTTAGCATCTACTTACCATTTACATTCAACATACAGCGCAAAGGAGGGCATTTGGTGGAGAGTAATCTGTTCCAGCAGATTTGACTGTGTTTTGACCTATACATTTCTAACCTGTGCATTTTTAAAAATTTTGCTAATGGACTATTGTTTTGTTTTGTGTCCTTCCAATTTGTTACCTTGTAAGCCACTTTGAGTTTAAGGAGATAAGGAAGAATATAAATACTTTAAATAAAATTAACTTCTACCTATTGAAATTGTGAAGAAGCCCTTGTAGGCCTGACATCCGGAATGCTGTTCTGTCATCTGATCCATGCCTTGGAGCCCGATGCTAGGAATGTAGGGCACATACCTTCACCCATGCCTTCTGAGTGGGTTTCAGGCAGGTTGAGAAGGAAGAGGAGACAGGAATGTGCCTGAGCAAGCTAAGATCAAAGGTTTTGCATTTTAGAAATACATTGGTCCTAGCTTGTTCAGCCATTCCTGCACCCGTCTCCCTCTGGCAGTAACAGAATGGACTTTGATCTCCTAGACAACTTCTGCCTAAATTCTCCCAGTTGTTGCTGAAGACCTCTGAGACAGTCTATTCCAACTATATACAGATTCGGCTAGACAGAGTTGGGATAGGTCAAGGATGCCAGGAGGGTGAATGTGCCAAGCAATAGTTATGGCACCCCAAGCAGCCAGTTTTGCCATGGATCAACTGTGTGATCAGCTTTATCAAGCCATTATGTGTAATTGTTCCCTGTATCCCTAGAGATGAAAAAAAAAAAAAGGGCATGGATATACCTAGGAGTGTCTAGTTAGGAGATAAAAAAAAGTAAAGCACCATGAATTTGACAGGATTACTCCAGAAAATGTAAGATGTGGCAATTCATATCTGTAGATCAATGGAGAAGTCTTACAGCATACCTATACTTTCACTAGTGTCATTTTGAACTATCATGACATTGCCCAGAACATTTTGGGAATCTTGGGATAAAGGTCCCTGTACACCCCCTCCCCAGTAGGAAAATAACTTTGGCAATACAATTTTGAGCAGACAAGCAACAGCTAGAGGCAGAATTAAGCAGCACCTTCTCCTAACTGTTTTTAGCTTTTAAAAAATCTGTTAAAAGGAACTGCACAATTTCACGTAACATATAGTTTGGCTACACATTTACTTATTACAAACTATTTTTGAAATGAACCAAACAATTAATTATGTCATATTCTGAACATTTTGTGGCAGAGACCAATATAGAGAGGTGAGACAAAGACAGAGCAGAACAAAACATAAACTCAAGATGCCCTACATACATTTCAGATTTGTTATTGTTTTAACATAGATTATGTAATGAGTGCCACCTACTGGAACAGTATTAAGCAAGCATATATAAACCCCTCCTAAAAGTTTATTGGAATATTAATTCATTATTATTTCATAGAATATAAAAAAAAATTTAAGAAGCAATCCAACATCATGATTATGTATTTTAATATTTTGTCCATATTTATCCCATAGTTCCCAGAATCATCACACTGGAATATTTCAGCTGAAATAGAAATCCGATTGTATATGTAGTATGGTACACAATAAAAATCAAATAATAGTATACATATTACAATCCTGATATATTTAAATATTATTGCTTTGTCATAGCACTGTTACAATCTGATGACCAATATCAAAAATTAGTTACTAATTTCTAATCTGCAAATATGTTCAAGCAAATTGTTGTGCAAATTTAAAACCATCTATAGAAAAAAAATGCAACAGTGAGACTATGAAACACTTTTTAAAATGTGCTATGCCCTCTGTGAAAACAAATCAGTTTTAGTTATGATATTGGCATTTGTGAATTACTTTTAAATTGTCAAATATTACTGAATTAATCAATCAGAAGTTAAGTAATTCTATTAGATTTACATACAGCACAAAGTAGGCTGAGCATTATGTATATCAATGAAAAACCTAAATGAGTTATCTCAATATTTTTATAGGTAGTTTTGGATAAGTTTCCAAAGAAATTGATAAATTACTTTGTTTGAGAACAATAATGGCAACAACTCTCAGAACAGGTTGTTTACCTGTTGTTCTTTGAGTGGTCATCTGTGCATTCACACTGATGACATTTGCTCCCACCTCTCTTTAGGAACACAGCCTCATATTGTGTGTGCCTAGAGGGAGAGGAGACACACCTTCCCTCTCAGTTCTTTCCAAAATGTAAGAGTACATTCTAACCAGTGTTCCCTCTAAGCTGAGTTAGTGTGAGCTAGCTCACACTTTTTTAGCCTCCGGCTCACACATTTTTGTCTTAGCTCAGGAAGGATTGCTCCAGAGCAAACTAATTTATGCAGTAGCCAAATCGCTCGCTCACAACTTTAATGCAGGTCGCTCACAAGGTAGAATGTTTGCTCACAAAACTCCACAGCTTAGAGGGAACATTGATTATAACAAGTTTAGGCACCTGTTGCTGGGAAAGCAAATAGGTTTTGTGAATGCATAGACTACTCAAAGAATAAGGTTAAAGGTTAACCAGTATTTTATTTCTTTGTGGTCTCTGTGTGCCACACTAAGGTGTATATAGACTAGCATGCTGACCTACCTAGAGATAGATATAGGTGCATTAAATTAAGAGACAGTGGAGTACTGCTCTTCCAAAGGAAGCATCTGCCTGGCCTTTGACTTTAAGGATGTAATGCTTGGGCCCAGGAAAGTGCTCTGTATTGTTCTGGAAGTGGAACATCTCAGGAGAAGGCTGAAAATATGGCCACATTTCTGGTGGAATGAGCTTGGGGGTTTCGAGGTAAAGGCCTGTGCACAGTCACAGCATAAACAGACCGCTTTTGAGACCAACAGGTGAATGAAACCAGATGTCTAAGAGAGGGAGTCCTGTAAATTTAGTAAGCCAGTACTTCTCAAATGTCATAAGAACATAAGAGAAGCCAATGTTGGATCAGGCCAATAGCCCATCCAGTCCAACACTCTGTCACACAGTGGCCAAAAATACCAGGTGCCATCAGGAGGTCCAGCAGTGGGGCCAGGACACTAGAAGCCCTCCCACTGTTGACCCCCTCAAGCACCAAGAAGACAGAGCATCACTTGCCCCAGAGTCCCTATCTATACCTTGTGGTTAATAGCTACTGATGGACCTCTGCTCCATATGCTTATCTAATTCCCTCTTGAAGTCAACCCTGCTTGTAGCCACCGCCACCTCCTATGGCAATGAATTCCATGTGTTAATCACTCTTTGGGTGAAGAAATATTTTCCTTTTATCTGTTCTAACATGACTGCTCAGTAATTTCATGGAGTGCCCATGAGTTCTTGTATTGTGAGAAAGGGAGAAAAGTATATCTTTCTCTACCTGTTCTATCCCATGCATAATCTTATAAACCTTAATCATGTGACCCCTCAGCTGTTGTTTCTCCAAGCTAAAGAGGCCCCAAGTGCTTTAACCTTTCTTCATAGGGAAAGTGTTCCAACCCTTTTATCATGTCTAGGGAATGAAGTGTATGTTCAGAGTATGAAGTAAGGGATGAAAACAAAGTTGGTGGAATAGGGTATTGGATCAAGATGGAAAGCAAACACTACATTAGGCAGAAAGGAAATGTCTGGTCTGAGGATACTTCATCGAATCTCAGGTGAAGGGGTCAGCTCTAAACACACATAGTTCATTGGCCCTCCTGACAAATGGTGGCTAAGAATGCCACTATGTAGATCAACCATCATAGATCACACTATGCTAGTGGTTTAAAGCATTTGTCCATCAGCCTAGTGAGGACAAACTGCAGATTACATGCTCTAATTGAAGACTGAACTGGAGGACAGAGCTGAACAGGGCTGCAGAAGAACTGTTTCAACATCACTGAGAGAACAGTAAACATCTTTGGATGAGAGGTCTGGAAACAGAGATGGCAACCAGATGAACCCCAGAAAGTGAGTATGCCATTCCCAAAGGTAGAGCTTTCAATACCCCTTTGGGCCAGTTCGAATACCTGATGATGCCATTTGGTCTCCAGCACTAGAATTTAAGCCATTGGAAAGGAAGATAGATTCCATCCATATTGGAAAACAGAAGTGATTAAATGCTCACACTTGCACTTGTAGTATTGTCCACTGGAAGGCTTTCTAGCATTAATATGAACCCCTTTGACCACTTCCAGAATTGCTTGGTTGTCCTCCAGACAACAAAGTGTAGCAAGTCCAGATGCAGAATCCTCCTGTGCTTTGGGGACAGAAGATACCATTCCCTGGAAAGGCTGATGTAATTGTCTCTACATCCTGGGAATCCTTGTGAACCATGTGGCAAAAACAGAGTGATCAGGATGCAGTCCATGCAATCTTCTTTATCTTTTCTATGACTTTAGAGACAATAGAGATAAGAGGAAACACACAGAAAATGAATCCCAACCACGTGAACACACGTGGCCAGAGAAGAGTAATCAGTATGCACTCCATACAATCCTCTCTATCTTCCCTATGACTTTTGTGACAATAGAGATAAGGGGAAATATACAGAATAGGCATTCCAACCACTAGGAAAACATTTCCCAGGGATTGATGATTTACTTCTGCTACAAAGCAGAAACGCTGGAACTTAACATTCAGTGCTGGGCCAAACAGGTTGACTCTTGGAAGGGCCCATTGATGAAAGATCAGGTCCAGGTATTTGTTGTTGAGCTTCCCCTTGTAAATAAGTCACAGTGCCCTGGCAACTGTGACCACATACCTGGATGTTGTTGGCTACTGTGACATGGATGGTGAAAGAAGTGATGCCATATTCACAGGCAGCCAGCCAGAATGTTCAGAGTGTGAGATGATGTTCACCCTGCTGATTTATGTAGTAAACGGTTGTAATCTTGTTGCTGGTTATTTGTAGGGCTGTGCCATGTAGCCTGGGGGAAAG